TAAGTTCGTAGAAATTTACATTTCAACTAGCTTCTAATTTTTCTAAACATTTTTCATATAAGCTAGCATTTCAGCTATAAGTCAAAAGTTATAAGCTCGAAAATCACTCATAAGCTATAAGCTATCAGCTAGATTATTATTAGTTAGTTTTAATAAACATAGTTCAAAACCGATATAAACGGAAAAAAAATCACCACGAAAATAGATTTTACTTACGAATAAGTCACCACCAGTAACTTTCGGAAAAAAAATGAATCGTTTTCGCAGGGGAAATGATGGTGGGGCCCGCGAAGGCGCTCTTCATGGACGAGATATCGAACGGTCTCGACAGCTCGACTACTTACCAAATCGTCAACATGTTGAGGCAGTACGTACACATCATGAAAGGCACGGCTTTCATCTCCCTTCTTCAGCCAGCTCCCGAGACGTACGACCTTTTTGACGATATTGCCCTCCTGTCCGACGGTCAAATCGTCTATCACGGTCCGCGCAAAAACGTGCTCGACTTTTTCGAGTCCATGGGGTTTAAGTGCCCTGAAAGAAAAGGAGTTGCCGATTTCTTGCAAGAGGTAATAAGCATAAATATACACATTCTCACATAATTTAGTTGTTTAGTTGTTGTTAAACGAAATGAACTGCTCGTGAGCTTGATTACTGGCTCGTTTTAGGTCACATCAAAGAAAGATCAACAACAGTATTGGGCAAACAAAAATGAGCCGTACCGTTTTGTCTCGGTAACTGAATTCTCGGAGGCATTTCAATCGTTCGGAATCGGCCGGAGGCTCGGGGATGAGCTAAGCATCCCATTCAACAAGACACAAAACCACCCGGCAGCATTAACGACCGAAAAATACGGGCTCGGAAAAAAAGAGATCCTCAAAGCCTGCACGGATAGGGAACTCTTGTTGATGAAGCGGAACTCGTTCGTCTACTTCTTCAAACTATTCCAGGCAAGAAAAAAAATTCAAAAAAACAAAAGGAGCAAACCGTTTGATTTCGTCTCGGATAAATCATTTTATGTAAAAATAATGTGTCGTGCAGCTAACGGTGATGTCGCTTATAGCAATGACGATATTCTTGCGTACGAAGATGGATAAAGAGACTGTACAAGACGGTGGGATTTACACAGGAGCTCTGTTTTTCGCGGTTATTATGGTCATGTTTAACGGGATGTCTGAGCTGGCGATGACGATTTACAAGCTCCCGGTTTTTTACAAGCAAAGGGATATGTTCTTTTTCCCGCCGTGGGCTTACGCTATTCCCTCGTGTGTTCTGAAAATCCCGGTTACTTTTCTTGAAGTTGCTATATGGACTTTCTCGACTTACTACGTGATCGGGTTCGATCCTAATGTTGGAAGGTACAAAGTTAGTTGCAAAAAAAAAAAAGAAAGAAAAGAAACAAATTTTAATGGGTTTTAATCTCTAATTGTACTACAGATTGATGAAGCAGTACCTTTTGCTTTTACTCGTGCATCAATGTGCATCGGCATTGTTCCGATTCATAGGTGCGGCCGGTAGGAGTATGGTTATGGCGAACACGTTAGGATTATACGCACTTCTCCTACTTTTCGCGTTAGGTGGATTTGTCCTAGCACGAGGTACTCGAAAAAGAAAAAAAAAAAAAGGATCAAAATGATCTAAAACTCAAAACTAAAAAATGCTCGGTTGCCCATCTCACGTTTTCCTTTATTTTTTTCTCGATTTTTTTGGCAGTCGATGTGAAGAAATGGTGGCTATGGGGCTATTGGTCCTCGCCATTAATGTACGCTCAGAACGCGATTCTTGTGAATGAGTTCACAGGGCATAGTTGGAGCAGAGTAAGTCAAATAATGCGCCAAACGTATCTATTATATTTAGAAGTGTTTCGATTCGGACTATAAAAAACTATCGGTTTTTTCGTCATATTTACAGATGATAAACGGAAGGAAGCTAGGAGATATAGTGTTGGAGTCTCGAGGCTTTTTCCCTCAAGCATATTGGTATTGGATAGGACTAGGAGCCACATTCGGGTTCATATGGATATTCAACATATTCTACTTACTATCCTTGATGTATCTCGACCGTGAGTTTTCTTTTTTTTTTTTATTTTCTTACATTCTTCGACTAAGATAAAGAAGAAGACATTGATAAATAAACGGAATAAATGCTGCAGCTTTCGAAAAACCTCAAGCTGTATTACCCGAAAAAGAACACGAAAAAGACAAAGCCGAAAGCAATAGCTTTTTTGGCCAAGTTTCAGCTCGAGGTAATGATTCTTTGGATAGATCAGATGCAACTGAGGCCATCGAGAATCGTAAAAAAGGAATGATTCTTCCATTTGAACCTCATTCACTCACATTCGACGACATTCGGTACTCAGTCGACATGCCCGCGGTAAGAATTTTTCTTCGAGTTTAAACTTAGTTTATTAAAATTTCCACATCACTCCTTTTTTTTTTCAAGAACTCGATTTCTTGATAATATATTCGACGTGTAGGAAATGAAAGCTCAAGGCGCCACAGAAGATAAATTGGAGCTGCTAAAGAGTGTGAGTGGGGCCTTTCGACCGGGCGTTCTCACGGCTTTGATGGGCGTTAGTGGGGCCGGGAAAACGACTTTAATGGACGTGCTAGCGGGTCGAAAAACGGGCGGATATATAGAAGGGAATATCACAATATCCGGATACCGAAAGAACCAATCGACTTTCGCTAGGATTTCCGGTTATTGCGAACAAAACGACATACATTCTCCGAACGTCACGGTTTACGAATCGCTGGTTTATTCGGCTTGGTTGAGGTTGCCTCAAGATGTCGATGCAAGAACAAGAAAGGTAATTAATTAGTTATACAATTAATAACGGGTAAAACAATGGTTCAACCTGTAATATACATGCGTTTGGGATTTACAACCTATTGGAAACAATCTGAACTTCATAAACATCCATAATTTGCACACTTGTCTACTTCTTGACCATACGGTCATCTGCCAAAATAGACACGTGTATAGTCAAAATGTAGGCGAGATGAAAATTATGAATGTTTATAAAGTTCGGGTTGCATTTTACCAAAGTTGCCTTAAAATTTTGGCTTAAAACAGATATTCATAGAGGAGATAATGGAACTAGTCGAGCTCAACTCGTTGAGAGGGGCACTTGTCGGGCTGCCAGGTGTCAACGGGCTCTCGACCGAGCAGAGGAAAAGGCTGACTATAGCAGTCGAGCTCGTGGCGAACCCTTCCATCATATTCATGGACGAGCCAACTTCGGGCCTCGATGCACGAGCCGCAGCTATTGTAATGAGAACCGTTCGGAATACAGTCGACACCGGGCGAACCGTGGTTTGCACCGTACATCAGCCTAGCATCGACATATTCGAAGCATTCGATGAGGTAAGCCTAGCATTTTCAAAAATTAAGGTTTTCTTACGTAATACGATTTATGAATATGACTCGATTTTTGTGGCAGCTATTCTTGATGAAAAGAGGAGGGCAAGAAATATATGTCGGGCCATTGGGTCGCCACTCGTCTCATTTGATCAACTACTTCGAAGGAATCGAAGGGGTCCCGAAAATAAAAGACGGTTACAATCCCGCCACGTGGATGTTGGAAGTCACGACTTCGGCACAAGAGCTGATTATAGGGATCGATTTTTCCGATCACTACAGAAACTCAGAACTATACAAGTTAGCTTACTTTTCCCTCACAAACTCGTCGTTTTCTCCTTTTTTTTTTTCTTTACGAAAAGCTTCTAACAATGGCTCGTTCGAAATCCTACAGGAGGAACAAATCCTTGATCAAGGAACTAAGCGTGCCTCGACCGGGAACTAAGGACTTACATTTCCCGACTAAATACTCCCAACCTTTCTTCACTCAATGCTTAGCTTGCTTATGGAAACAACACTGGTCATATTGGCGTAATCCGCCTTACACGGCTATAAGGTTTCTGTTCACGACCTTCATAGCCCTCATTTTCGGGACAATGTTTTGGGATCTCGGATCTCGATGGTAAGTACACAAAAAAGA